AAGGGGGAGAGGATGGATGACAGATGGGGAGGAGTAAGATAATAAAAGGATAGAGAGAAATAGAGAGAGACCAATAGATACAAAGAAACAAAACATTCAATATAGTCAAGTTAAAAGTAGGAGAGATGGAGATGAGGTCAGAGATTTGTTTATTTCTGGAAGTCATTGGGAACTTCTTTTCTGCTGCTAATCAATCACCTTGTCAATCAAGATTCATATCAAGGCTTGGATCAATTTGAATCTAAACCCAATTATGCAAATTGCTGCTTAAGGGCAAACTCTGTGATGTGAACATGAATTAAGGAGTCAATTTGCCAATTAAACACATCTTTAGGACCTGTTTTCTTACCTTGATTGATTTAAATAACTCTCCCTAAAGGGTTTATGAGAAGACAATGGAAGAAAAAAGCTGTCAGTGTTTTCTGATGCTACTTGAAATACACATTGTAAACATGTGAGCTGGCAGAAAGAATGCTATTGTGGAAGATGAAATAAAGAATAAGCATTATAAATTTTTGTTATTGCACGAAGTTTTGTGAATTTTTAATAAGTTTGTTGTAGATGCGTAATGTTTTTGGGTATAAGATAAAAGATGTGTGGAGAAAAGCATAATTATTTGCATATTTAGGGTAATGGATAGTGATACCCAAGTTGGAATAGATTAAATTGGTTCATACCAAAATTCGAGCAGTACATTCATCCCAAAATACCACATAACAAACACCATAATTGATGTTAGCATGATGCATGTGAGAATTATGGGGAACACATTTATATTCGTTTTTGTAATTCTTGGTTTCTCTGTCTCTTTGACTCAGTAAAACCTGGTTACACGCAGCTACCACATGGCGTTAGTCATGTGTAATGATTCGTACTCAGTCACAGCCCACCAGATTAGACACATATGCACAATGCCCCTCACATCCTCTCTAGCTCTCAGACAGGAAGCCAGAGTCAGAGCCGCTTCCTGCTGTGTCATTAACCGTCCAGCTTCTTTGACGGGATTTAGAGGAAGTTTTCTCCTGCTGAGTCAGTGGATATACTGAGGTTTGCCACGGTCTGAAAAGCTATGTTTGGACAGTGTCACCATTTGCTGTCTTTCTGAAGTCATTTCATAGCTGTGTTGTTGAAATATTTGGATTTCATCTCACTGGAGAGAAGACAGGAATGTTTTATTACAACAGCAGTGCAAGTGTGATAGATTTTCATTGGCTATCCAGTGAAACCTGATCTTTCCCAGAGCTGTACAGTAGAAAAAAGGGTGAAAGGGTTGTGTGGGGATATGAGAAGGAGAGAAATGGAAAGCAAAACTCCAAACAAAACAAAGAAATACAGGATTTCATTTGCTTTGGCATTTGATCCACGCTATCCAGACCAGTCGTAGTTCCTATATAAGAAGCCCCGTTGACTATATGAAAGTTTATTATTGGTGTTTAAATCTGTCGAATTGGTTTATCCTAGCTTCATAATCCTAAAACTGTAAACTGTTTAGGCTGTTTAGACTAGAGCTGTAATCTTAAGTTGATTATTTTATCACTAGAAAATTAATCTGTTGCTATTTTGCTAATCGGTTAATCATTTTATCCATCCATTAGTTTAACCTCTTAACAAGCTAGAGACATAGATGGCTGAGTGATGTATTTGTTTTTGCAAAAATGCTGAACATCATCTGTTTTTAGCTTACTTTATGAATCTGAAGCTTTGTCATGTCCTGTATTGAATGTTATTAACCTGAATATCTTTACATGTTAAAGTGTTGGTTAGACCAAGCAAGCTGTAAACTCTATATTGTGTATATTGTGCATTTTGCTATTTATCGTACTGTTTATTTTAATCTCTGTGTGCAGCGCTTTGTGACTACCTGTCTATGAAAAGCGCTTAATAAATAAACTTTACTTACTTTACTTACTGTCCCTGCTGTGAGCTTTTGTGATTTATAATGGCTGTATATTAAAAAAAAACATTAAACATTAGAATGTTAATTGTTGATGAAAAGGAAATAAATATGAAGAAAGAAAGATGTCAACCATAGTACTTAAAGTACTAAAGCACATGTTATTTTTGGAATTTTACTGTGACCATTTCTTTAAATAACCGCCTTTCTGTACCCTCTCTCTGCAGACCTTTGTAAACGATGTCCGCATTCAGGAGCAGATGTACATCACTCTAAAGTTAGAGGACAAGCTGAGGTTTGGATATGATATCCTTCACTAATCTGTTCACCCCTCACACAACCAGCAATATGTTCACCATTTAGAGAACATGCTGAGGAAAAAAATTTTTATTCTCACCAAGGTGCCAAACTTGTGTTGTGACCTATAAATATAGTTGAGTTCACAACTTGCAGTAGTGTATCAGTTCTTAAACAGTTTGTGTCATTCCCCATCACAGAAGCCAAAACAGCTCATGCCTGACACCCCATAACTTTTATCAATCTATAACAATACATAGGGAATTATGAATAATTTCTTTCAATAGATTAGCATTTTTAGATTATTATTATTTTCTAATTAAAATAGGGAAAATATTAGAATCATTTAAATTAGTTTTACTTTGTAATTTTTTTAACCTGGTTGTGCAGGTCCTTACCTCCTTTGTGCTTCCCCACCTGTGGGCTTGCATTAGTGTCTGTAATTATGTCATAGTTGTATGGTGACCCGTATTTCCTTAACCTTTCTGTTTCACATACCAATCTGTTTACGGTGGTGAGAGGAGAACTCACTGTGCCTGAGGAAGCTCTAAAGGTGAGGACCTTTGTCCTAACATGATCATGTTTCACAGTTGCATTGTACTACATATATGGCTATTCATTTTATGTGTCCATTTCTTCTTCTCCCTTTAGCATGAAAAGTTCACCATTGGCCTCCAACTCAGCAAGAAACCATCGACTGGTGAAACCGCTAGCACCACAGCCACAACCAAATCTCCCAGTAAGACCCCAACAAAGGCACATAGATCCCCCAGCCACACTAAATCAGGGGAGAGCAAAGTCACGGATGGGGTCACTTCCTCCAAAGAGTCATCTGCCAAACCTGTGGACACTCACAAAGCTGAAGAGAGGATAGGAGGTAAGAGACAAAACAGAAGTAAATGTGGAAAAGTAAATTAGTCTGCTGTTTCCTTAAATTTACAAATTTCTCTTATGAATAAAGATATCTTCAGTGGAATTTTAATTTTGTGGTGATCCAAAAGTAGCCCTGGGACTGAAATAACAACAAAAGCAATACAAATGTTTAGTAATGGCTTTATGCTGATATTAACAAGTAGAAAATGTATGTTCTGATATATAGTTCTGCAAATACTCTCTAAAACCTCTAGATGTAATACCACAGTTTCAAAAGCACTTAACTGAATTTTTCACTTTCTACAACCCTGAGAGAGCAGGCTTTATATTCACATTCAGGCTTCACATTCATGTCATCATTTAGTGCAGGGGTGGGGGAACTCCAGGCCTCAAGGGCCAGTGTCCTGCAGGTTTTAGGTGTGTCCTTGATCCAAAGCAGCTAATCTAAACAGCTGAATTACCTCCTCAACATGTCTTGAAGTTCTCCAGAGGACTTATAATGAAATAATCATTTGATTCAGGTGTGTTGACCCAGGGTGAGATCTAAAACCTGCAGGACAGCAGCCCTTGAGGCCTGGAGTTCCCCACCCCTGGTTTAGTGTTTGTGTCTTTTTTTGTTGTTGTTGTTGTTGTTGTTTTTTGTTGATGTTTTTTCCCAAATAAGGAAACCTTTTTTAAAATAAGAATATTGTGTAATTTAAGTGTGGTAGGGTTAGGCCAGTAGGGGGTGGGCATGGTCACAGGAAAAATTGCTGCCCGGCGCTGAGTATTATCATGAAGACGGCTTACATTTGAGGGTGTCCCTAATAAGTGACATCAGTGGGCATGTTGGGGTGCTAGCAGTGTTTCTGGTTAATCTCCAGATGTTAAAACAAGGCCATAGAGGGCTTGGGTTTACAGACAGCTTAAGCTGTAATAGGGTCAGATTGAATGAATAATGCAAACCAACATCCCAGCTCTGCTGTCTATAAAATGCAGTAAGATACACACACAGACATAAATTTGGACCTAAACAGGCAACGATATACACTCAGCTTTGCATGTTGCCTGATCTTCCACTCATTTTTTAAATAACACTCATGCTGTTTTTCATGAGGATGCAATCTCAGTGTTATTGCTTCAGTACCAGACCTCACTCACATATTATAATTTACAGTAAACATACGTTCAGTAGTTTTTATATAGATCAGCCCTACTTACTGTAAACAATTTGGCACTGAGGATCTATAATTATCTGGATATACTGTGTTTAAACTAACACATCGCAGGGTGAAGGGTACTAAAATGAGGGGAAAAGGCATAAGATGAGGAAAGAATGCAAAGAACTTGACGAGATGTCCTCTGATACAGCACTCAGTGATGTTTCCTCTCACTTCCTTACTTAGTTTAAGAGTTACCACTGGAGCATAGTACCTTTTCTTATAGTCTGATAGGAACAGGGGGGGAAAAGGAAAACTTGTCTTTCATATCCACCATTTATTTCTGAAAGAGAAAGAACCCAAAACATTGAATGTTCACATGCGTGTTCGACCAAGCTGGCTAAAGTTTTGAAAATAGGTCAGTGTTGCAAGACCCGACTAGGGGGAATTAAAGCACGAACACAGACATACGCAAGGAGCAGCTGGGTTAATTTTGGTGCAACGTGATTCAGTGAACTGTTTATCTAGATACGACCTGAGTATGTCAGGTCGTATGTTACTAAGTCAGTAATAAACACTCGCCTTCACAGAGTAACACGTAGACTCACTGCAAGGCTTTGTTAAAATGTTTTTGTGTGAACATTTGCCCCAGGGGATATTACAGCACTGCCTCGTGGGACCCCCCTGTATGGCCAGCCGTCTTGGTGGGGGGATGGGGACGCAGATGATGAGAATTCTTTCAAACAGGAAAACAGGACATCCACAAAAAAGCATGACAGCTCCACCTCAGGTAGGAGGCTGTGAGATTTTGAATTATTTTACACTTTCAGAGGTCAAACGCAAACATGTGCTTTCTTGGGTTTATACACAGCAAGCAGGTACAATATACATGTACAATGACAGTGTTACATTTTCAAAACATAGTTGTAAGAATGCCAAATGATTTCCACATATTATAATAAAGTTTGTGTAGTTGTGATTGGTTTGTAAAAGGTGTTTTTACTGTTAGCACTTGGTAACTGCTTTACAAATAGACATGACGTAGAAGTTCAATTTCATACTCTATAATAGGGTGCACTTTCAGTAATTTAAATGAAGCTTCTATTTGCTTTAGTTCAAGCAAAAAATTTAAAATAAAAGTGTTTTACTGTTTACAGTGTATAGTTACAATGTACTGTGAATGGAAACGTTGCTGTTAAATAGCTAACACATTAAAGATGCTATGTTAAGTTGAATCAGTAGCTTAAGTCATCCTAATGTCCTCCAGCTCCGTTTATTTGCTTTCTTTGTGTTGAAGGGGTGATGTCCAACTAGCCTGTGTTTTTGTATTTGTGACAGTCCAAGTGCACACAAAGGCCTTTTTCATAGCATGTATGTCTGTTTGCCTGCACTATGCGATTAGACAGTGACCATTGGACTGAGGGGGGAATAACGTTAACTAGAAGCCGATAGTCAGAGTAACAGGATTAGAGGAATAGTGGAACAGCTCAGTGATACAAAAAAATCAGTCTGTGCCAGGCTGGTTTAGTGTGGACCAGAAGGAGTGGGGGGAGGTTAACCAAACACAAAAAAACACTGGAGCAGACTGAAGCATCCTCAAATCTCTCGTTACATCTGGATGGATAGTCTGGCAGCATCTTTGCGAGTCGGTAAAAGAAGACTGGGTTTTTTGGGGGTATTTTTGTTTGCTTGTTTTTTTTGTTTTACCTCTTTTAACAGTCAGTTATAGGTGCTTTCTGTTCTCTACGATTCTCATCACTCTTTGGAGTTTAGTGTCGTATTTTTGTGGTGAAGTGAGATTAGAAAAGCTTGTCAGTTTGGAGTAAATCTGCAAAAGTGTGAAGGGCTGATTTGAAACCAAACGGAAAAAAAACGTTTCCAGAAGATCAGCTAAATGGGATTGGCTACTTCAGTTATGGAAGCGGGTGAGTAAAAGGCATTTACCCTCCCCAGCATCGGCTTTTAAAAGATGAATGTTGAAACGTTGGATTGTGAAACGGCGTGCATATTTATCAGTATGTTATCAGTGGACATTTAATTTTAAGTGGTATGGCTTTACCTCCATGTGTATTTCCCCTAATAGGTCATTTTATTCAGATATGACAGTTAGGAGGAAGTGAAAGTGAGAAAGAGAGGTTTGGGGATAGGAAGCGATTCTGTTTGGTTGTGTGCTTTGTAGCATGTATGTGTACTTCAGTTAAATTTAGTGTGTGTCTTTTTATCTTTGCCTCTGAATAGGCTGTGCTGTCAGAGTCCCCTACCCTCCCCTCCTCATGTATTGTTGCTCAAGCTGATTGGGTTACACCATTGCACCAGCTCCCCCCTTTCCTCCCAACACACACACACACACACACACACACACACACACACACACACACACACACACACACACACACACACACACACACACAGTGTCCAAACAGACCACACTAAGTGTACACTGCAGCAATCATTAGCCAACCACGCTCTAATTCTTTTGTAAGTATCACTTTCTCATCCATACACTTTGAGTAATGGAGCTGGTGAAATGCTTTCAGTTTGGGTCAGCTTTGTATTTATCTAATATTTTACCTTGCACTTGATTGCCAGCAGCTCATCGAAGAGCTGTCCAGTCAGTGAAATCTCTTCAACTCTCAAGTCTGTGAAATGAGAAAGGGTTTGGTGTTGTACTGTTAGGCCAACAGAAATCCTGGAACACATTCAGCAGTTAGTTTGAACCTAGCGGTTAAATAAAATTATTATTGGAGTTCTTTACTTTGCAGAAGTGACTAATGTAAGTGATTCTCAGATGACTTATGTTCACACTAACTCACTCCTTACATGAGTGGGATAGAGGAAGTTTTCTGAGTTCATCAGAATTGGAATAACTGTTGCTGTTTATATTGTTTTGTCTCTTTTTAAAACTGTTTGTTTTAACACCAGAAGGCCCTGAAAGGTAAGAGATCACAGAGAAGAAATGTGAACAGTGTAGTAGTACTGCTGTTTGAAAGTTGAACCATGTGTTCTGTCTTAGTTCAATGGTATTACAGTGTTCTCATAGTCATTGAATCTTAAGCATCACTGCACATATTTGATCTAAAGTACATCATATTTGCTCTCAGTCTTAATCTGTGTTGTAAATCTTTCCAAAACTGCTGAGCCGCTTACACTGGCAGCCACTGATAGTTTCAAAAAGATTAAAAAAAATCAACTAAACTGAGCTGAGGGAAGTAAAGTGAAGTGGAAAGTGCAGCTTTTAACTAAGAGATTGTACCTTTTGGAATGTCCTGTTTTCTGTCCTAAGTCATTAAGCAGCTCTGTGATATATTTAAAATAAATATTTTATTAGAAATGTGTTCACTGTTGCTCACTCTTGTATTGTGCAGACAGTTTCTGTTTCTTGTTTCTTTTTGTCAATTGCCATCTGTTCCTACGTTTGCTCCCCAACATGAAGCAGATGGCCCTTCTAATTTCTGAAAGTATCATTTGTCATATTCAGATCTCACAGAGGGTCTGTTTGCTAATACGGACAAATGAGAAAAAAAGTCCCCCGAAATCAGGTTTTAAAGAGCTATGCCAGCACTACTTCTTTTTTTAGAGTGACAGAAAGTGAAAATGAGAAACAGAAAGTTGATGTGAAGAACAAACCCTGAGTGGATTGATCTGTGTCTTGAATGGCTTGATTTTCAATATTTTCGCTTTCATATCCTTTGAAAATTAAATCTAGTATTCATCTGTGTCGACTAAGTAATGTATTCCTGTGCTCCACATAGAAGCTGAGAATATGAAGTCTTTAGGCAACATACAAACTTTTTGGTACCGGAAGCTTTGTGTTTTTCTTTTAAAAAGGATGTGTGCAGCGCAAAAGCACATTAGCTGGAACAGTGTTGTGCTGTGTCCACAAGCTGGTAACACAACACAACCCCAAAATAAAATCTCACCATCTAATTTTGGCTAAGATTTTCACAGGTTGGTTGGTTGGTTGGGTGGTTTTATTTTAATCCACTGATGTCAAATATTTATTGCCTACCCAAATTTGATCTATTTTCGAATGCATCTTTTGGTATTTTCTGAACTTAGAAAGCAAAGAGGCACATCGAGGGGAGAAAGCTAAAGAGGCTGGTCTTCATGCGCCCACTGCCCATGATTCCAGTTACTTTGAGATCCCCACCAAGGAGGGTCACATGGCCAGTAACGGCATCCATGAGATTCCTACCAAGGACACTGAGGGCACAGCCAGTCACATCACTACAGGTAAAGTGAAGTATATGTTTAATTCTTTTTGATATGTCTTGATAAAAGCAGGTGTATTTATGCTTTGTATTCTTCATGTTATTCATGTTGAACTTTTGAGAAATCTTTTATGGCACAAATAAGAGATCAATGTGTATCTAGGCAGACAAAGTAGCAGTTATTCTGCTAGAGACACTGGCTTATTTGAGTATATTTTAGCAAATGTCCATGCACTACTGTATAATTACACAATCTGGTTATATGCATTTTTTCTTTTAGAAAAGTGCTTCAGTTAGCAAACTTATATTTAGTACTGACTGACACAGTAGTATGTCTGCTCCACAGCTCAAGGTCACGCCTCCTTTACCATAGAGTTTGACAACACGTCTCCAGGGAAAGTCACCATTAAAGACCACGTGTCAAAGTTCACACCCGATCACCACAGATCTCGCTCCAAGAAGAGTGGAGCAGGAAGTGGAGGCGCAGGAGGAAGGGACTTGAGTACCCTACAGGCTGCTATGATGGCATCTGAGAGCAAAGTAGCTGATTGGCTAGCCCAGAATGACCCCACTCTTGTGCGCAGCGAGTCGACAGAGGATGACAGCAAGAGCAGCAAGAGCATCAAGAGCGATGTGCCAGTTCATCTGAAAAGACTGAAAGGTAGATTGCGTTTACTATTTGTATGTCTGTAGTTTGTGTGTTTTGTTGTGCCTCTTTTTGGTTTCCCTGATTATTTCTCCTCTAACAAAAGAATCCCATTTAGTCCCTGCAATAATCCTTATTTGTGAGTTATCAGTTAGTTCACCAGAAAAGTCATTCTAATTTCAGTTTCTTAGTGTAATAGTACAATATTTAACACACTGTCATTTGCCATACTATGTGAAGTTGGAGTTGATTCTTTGCCAGAGGTTGTTGGCAGTGGTAGCCAAGCAGGGGAGATTAGCAGCTAGCAGAGAATACCATGCCTACTCCTCTGCTGCTGTATAGCTCAGCCCCTTTTTCCTGTTTGCAGAAAAGAGTACTCATACTCACATGCATGCATAGAATACATCCTGCCATTTAAAGCCTGATTGCATGATCAGAAAAATGTTTTTCTTCTTTTGTATTATGTGTAGGATAAGGTTTGAAAATACTATTGCTGTAGATTTCTTGGTTCTCTGTGTTTCTTTGTCCCCATTACCTGCAAGCAGCCAGCTGCTGAGTTGGCTCCTGCTGCTATGGGTTTTTATGAGAATTGATTAAACCAAGCAAGGTTAAGCCTTGTGCTCTCTCCCTCTAAAGAGAGTTTAGGTTTGATGCTAGGCTAGGCCATGCACATGTCTTGAGTCAATTAAATGAAGGCCAATTTATGATAGTGCTGGCATGTGTAAGGGAAGGGACCAGCAGATGCGTGCTGATGAAAATGGAAATCTATTAGCAGAAGTGAAAGGGAGAGAAGGTAATTCATTAGATGGAGTTAGTACAACACACATGTTAATGGGCTGTCAGAATGGCTCAGCTATGGGACTATTATTTTAATATGAGTTTTGGGTTGCTGGATGCTGCAGTCTTTTCAAAATGTGGCTGAAGAGCAAGGAGATAGAGGGTAAGTGGACAGCTGGATGAAAAGCTATCTGCAGACAGGTACAGAGGGAAGGTAGGAAGAAGCAGGATGAGAGAGCAGTATTTGCAGTAACTGCAGCCAAGGTGACTAAACAAAGAGAAGCAAGACAGAGAGAGAGAGAGACAGAGAGACTTGTGTACACTGCAGTAGAAGCGGAAAGGGAGGCAGCAAAGGAAGGGAGCATTTTTTTTTGAGTTAGTTGTTATAGTAACAGTGATGCAAATGATGGCAGGGAAGGCGAGCGTTCAGACATATATAGCAAGCACTAGTGCTGAACATCTGTCTGTGTGTCTGTGTGTGAAGGCTGCAGCGGCATGTGTGAGACATGCGTTTCAGTGCTGATGAGTGCGTGTGCGAAGCATGCGCTGCTTACATGTTCATTTGTGTTGCTGAAATTCGCCAGGTCTGCGTCTGCTGCATGTGTGTGCTGGAATCATGCTCTGCACTGATCTGCAGACAAGCAGTGCGGCATGTGTGAGAGGAGGCTTGTGAGATGTGCTCAGGGTGTGTCATAGAGGTGCTAGGCAGAGAGGGTAGCAGAGGTTCAGCAAGAAAATTGAGAAGAAGCAACTGAGATTTTGATTTCTAACCATCAAGGTAAGTCTTTCTTTTCTCACTGTAGGAAATAGTCTACATGATATATCTTTATACTGTTGGTTATTTAGAATATGAACTGCCATGTGTGTGCATGAAAATGTAAGTATTTTGTTGCACGCTTATCAGCATATTGCCAAATATGTGTGATTTGAGATGTTATTAAGAACACAAAATTCATTTTCTTATTAATGATGAGTGTTTCATGTGAAATGTAATTAATTTGCCCTAATAGTTAAAGCCTATCACATACTCAGGACTTTAAATTCAATTGTATGTGTTGTACTTGCAGTGTATCCTTACATACAGTACAATTCTGTGTATGTTTGAGGTTGTGTGTTTGCTTGCCTGCTTGTGTGAGTGTGTCTACATGTAAAGTAAGTACTTTCTTGTATCAAATGCTGAGCTTTGTATGTCTGTGTGTCTGTTTACTTGTGTGTGTGTGTGTGCGTGTGTGCGTGTGTGCGTGTGCGGGCAGAGGCCAGCTCCACTGTGAGTCATAGTGGGGCAAGTGGGACAGAGCACTGGACTCTCACAGACATCTCTGTTCTCTTCTGGCCCAAAGGGCTTCTTTGTCTCGGACACACAGCATGAAAGACCTGCCTCTCGTTGTCTGCTTATCTGCTGATCTCTTCAAGCTACTGTTTTCTTTTTTTTCTTCTTGTTAATGAAATAGATGCTTTAATAAATGCTTTAATAAACTACAGTTTGGAAAGATGGAACATTTTGAGGAGGTGGCCGGTGGAATGTGACAAATGAGCCACAGACTCTGAATTATGCCCTAGGCAGCAGAATCATTGTGATATCCCAGTGTGGAAAAAGTACTTACAGGGGTGCTCTGCAATTTAATATTGTACTTGAATGAAGGTTGGCGCCCTGTAAAAGGCAGATTTAAAAAAAAAAAAAAAAAAGAGTATAGCAAAGAATAAGACACAACTAGATGTAGAAACGTAGAAAACAATATGATCAACTTAAAAGAACTTGCATTTATCAAACAGTCAGCATTATAATGCATGCATACGTGGCTGGCAGCATGCGTGAAACGTAAAATGATTAAATTAAAAGAGTTCACTGTAGCATAGCCAGTCAGTTGTGCAGGAAGGAGGGAGCTGTTAAAGCTGGGCATACTGGGCCCAGGTGTAGCTCATCCAGCTATCCACCAAAGCACAACAAGACCAAAGCAAAACAGAGACACCTAGTGTTGGGATGGCATAGAGGTCATCTCAAAAGGTGTATTGCTGTTTAGATCTCCAGCTCTCACATTTTTTAAACAGACTTTCTTAGACTTGACAAAACAAACAAAAGTAATAGATTCAAGTAGTAGAAGTAATTAGAAAACTAAAGTGTGTCATATGTGGAGCTTCTGTAAGTACACATGTCACTGTTAACATAAATAATGTGTCATCCTGATACGCCACTAATGTTTACCGGCTTTCCAGTTTTAATTCAGTACTGTCCAGAACTTGACTCTCAGTCCTGATTACAATGAAATTAATCTAGAAAGTTAACAGATTCAAAGGAGCAGTCTGTGCACAGTGAACCTGCCAAGCCATTCAAGACCACTCAGCATGTATGCATCTTTTAGGCTCTTTGTCCTCTTTTCTCACAGAGGGCAGTTCAGTAGCACTACTTGCACATTGTGTCTGAAGTGAAAAACAGCCTAAAAACAAGCTTTTGGGGCCTGTATTATTTTGGAGAAAGTATTAACTATATCACAGAGCTTTGGGTTTATACAATGTGTGTGATCATGTGCAGCACCAGTCCTGTGGTGTTTCCTTCCCTTCGCTTCTCCCATATCCTGATGGACTGACTGCCAGCTAGTTAAATGCCAGTGACTGGTTAGGCCTTTGATTGTGTGACATTCTCTTAGCTCTAATGACAATACATTCCGTATCCTGAGCATTCTTCAGTCTCTGTTTTTTCCTTTTTGTCACACTTAATCTGTTTTCATTCCTTGCCCCTCCACCCTCCTCATTTTCCACATCCCCCAATCTTCCTCTCTGTTCAGCCTTCCCTTTTCTTTCCCCTTTTACTTCCCTTCCTTTACTTCTTCAGCCTGAACCCCCTCTACGCACATACACACATACGCACACACTCTAGTCCAGCCTTCTTCTACTTCGCTTCCCTCTCCATGCTTTCCTCCTCCCCTCCCCCTTGCCTCTCTTGCTGTCAGTGAAGTAGGCAGGGATAGTGGTGGGTGTGGGTGGCATGTCTGGATTAGCGTGGACGTGATGATTTGACCCAGACTGATACAAATGTAGAATAACTCGAGTAATGCGGTAGGTTGTGAATTTAGGGTCTGTTTTATCTGTTAAATGTGTGTGTCACAACTGAAAGTTCATAGTTCGTTTAGACTACGAATGTGGTTTTAGGTGGATGTGGTTCTGCGTGCCTGGCTCTTGTGTTAACTGCTTGTTTTCAGAACATGCCGCACATGCTGCTGTATGCACAGCATTGCTATATTGCATCTTTTTACATAAGCTGTGGCCTGTTGCTGTGGAATTATTCTGCATATATGTTGTGATGTAAATGCAAGATCTTTTGCTTGAGAATATGTGGACGGTCAATATAGTCAATTAAAATAATTCTTTTCTTTTTTTTGTCCCTTTAGGCAGCAAACATGAGGATGGCACCCAGAGCGACTCAGAGAATGGGCTGGGGCTGCGTTTTGCCAACAGACGCCATGCTTTAGAGGAACGCCTAAAAGCGTCACACAGCCACGTGGGAGCAGGAGGATCTGGAGAAACAGGAGGGGGCAACATAACAGTCAGTGGGACCAGAACAACTGGGACTCGTACTGCTTTTATGATTGAGTTCTATGATGAGGAAAATCCTCGCAAGCGCCGGTCATATTCATTTTCCCAGACCGCACCCCTGCTGGGAGCAGGAGTTGGTGGAGAGGGACTCTGTCCTCAGCCTCCTTCTCACCCCAAGGTGTTTAGCATTTCCACCTCGGCCACAACAGCCTCAGACTCAGGTAATAAAACTCAGCTTTAATGTATTTTTACACTCTTTCTATGACCAGATTTTGTTTGTCTTTTCCAAAGTAAATGTTTAAAACTATACCCATTAAATATAATAAGACATACTGGGAGTTTAGCTATTTAAGTAAAGGAATGACACAAAGGCACTATTTATCCTCTGAAAAGCATTTTATGTATGTGTGACCATTATTTTTTTTAACAGCTGTATTTCTGTGCTCTGTGTGTGTACCTTTCAGGTAAGGTCCCAGCCCCAATACCAGCTACAGTGACTGTAGGTGCCCCTACAGCTGCCCGAGTGCTTCTTAAACAGAGGTCAGAGGACCCAAGTATTGGTCGGAGCTCGGCCAGTACCGGGCTGGCGACAGGTAGCCCCACCACCCCCAGTGAGGACACATCAATTGTGGGCAGAGGTGCAAGTACAGCTGGTGTGGAGGCAGAAGACGACCACAGTGATAAAGGTACCTACACCATCGAACTGGAAAACAAGAACCCGGAGGAAGAGGAGGCCAGGCGAATGATAGACAAGGTAGCGTGGAAACATGTCTGTTATTCTGCCCCAGCTTTCACAGTACTTGAAATGAGATGTATGTAGGATCCCACATTTTTGGGCCATAAACATCACCACTAGTTCGTGATTAAAAACATATTTTCCAGAAACGAAATCCTAAACTCTACATAACAAACTGGAACAATCTGTAAGTCTGTAAAGCCTTAAATACCTAGATTGAAATCTTTTTTCACCTGAGATGTGCTGTGTAAATAGTATACGATAAATTACAATAGTAAATTCTAATGTGGGTTATTTAAAGGACATTTGTTGCATTTTGTTGTTTGAGTCTTAATGTTTTATGTTCTGATCCCTCCAAAGTCACAAGAAAACAAAAATTATGTGTGTTGTTGCTTTTCGTTTCCAAACGTTGACCATAAAAGTAGCAGTTAGAATGACAAACATCATTTAAAGTCTCTCTGCAGTAACTGCAGAAAGTAACTGAGCCAACATAAACAGGCCAGAGCAAGGTTAATAGTCTGTTTATTACCTGCTTCATTGGCAGTTTTAGGGGTAGTGAGTCCTATGAGAGTACTTGGCGTTGTTGACATTAAAACAAAGCTATCCCCTTTCTGTTGCCTTTTTTGACCACCACCCATCTTCTCTGTCCCACTGGTAAAGCTAATGCTTCTGTAGTTGCCTGGAGAGACTTACTCCATCAAGGACTGTCCTGCTTTATTAAACAATGCTCCAGGGAGGCTGCGCCACCATCATCAATTTCCTACTGCTGCCACTGGTCTTGTGCCATAGAGCTTTTTCATGGTCACTGAAAACATACTGGAAATAGGCAAGAAATGCACTTAGAGAGATGACTGAGAGTTAAATTTACAGAGACAATTTTACTTACTAAGGTTAGAAAGAAAGTTGTAGAAAGGAAAGTTTGCAACTCTAACAATGGCCAGTATTTTTATTTGTCACCTAACCGATTCAGAAGTTGGGATTGGCTGCACATAAACCTTTTTTAGGAAGTCAGGTTGTTGCTGTGGGTTATTAAATTACAAGGTTATCACACAGGCCTGATTTTAACTTTACTAAATGACATCTTAGTGTGGCACTTGTCCCTTCAAGTGTTGCATGCAGGTGTTATCTTAGGAGGAGCTGTGATATAATTAGTGGGGTGTATTTCGAGGTAGTGGTAGTCTGGGCACATTACATTCAAAACTGGAAGTGTTGTTATGCTAATTCCTGTAATTAGCTGACACGCTAATTGGCACACTGCTCACAGTCTGTCCGCCTTTCGCTCTCTTTTCCTTTGTAAATAGTGCATGTGTGTGTGTGTGTGTGTCTGTGTGATGTGTGACTGATATTTTTTTATGTCACCATGGTACTCAATTTGCCAGGTCTCTCTTGGAAATGAGATTTTTAATCTCAATGAGATTTTTACCTGGATAAATAAAGGATTAATAAATAAAAAATAACCAGACCCAATTAATGCTTTATTTCAACAGCACTTACTTCTGTTTAATTCACTTTTCTTCAGTAGGAGAACTGTTGAATGATATGTTTATAAAATATATTATGGCGGTATTTCATTTTCATTCCAAAGACTACCATTATTCTGTTGCATACAAAATGTGCATATTGTCTAAAGATTAACTGTACTTGAGCAAAACGTTTTTGTATTCTTCTTTTTTACACATTTTTAGGTGTTTGGTGTGCAGCAGAACAAAGACTCATCGATTCTGTCAGACCTGAAAGGAGAAGGAAAAGGAAAGGAGGCAGGACAGAGTGGAAAAGAGGTAGAAACAGAACATGAACTGGTTATTTGTTTTTGCTTTGTTACTTTTTTATGCCCTTATAGTATTTTTCTTCCTTTTTCTGTCTTTGATTAGCTTTTTTATGTTCACCTATAGATTAGCATGTGTTGTTAAAGTACTGACAATAGCCTCTTAGTGTCATATAACAGACTTAAGATTCATGACTAAGCTTCATATTGTGTGTCAGAATAACTCTGATGGCACTTACTCCCTAAGCCTGTTCGTGGGAGTAGGCAAGTCCTCCCTATGAGTGACCTAGATCATACTAAGATGAGGAGAGACATGCTCGGCCCTTTAGGCAGTTTTACAAGAGGGAGGGGACAGCGTGTGTGTGCAATGACAGCCTTTCTGTCTGTTCTTCTGTCTTTTATGCCCCCCTGTCTGGGTGATTTATATGTATTTAAATAACACACAGAGCATATAGCAAACTGTTATTTTTTTTAATATCAAATAAAAATGTAGTGAAATATCTTCATCCTTACAGTCTAACTCAGTTCTCTCATCATTTATATACTTTAATGGCTTTTAGATATAGCAATTGTCATGATCTCCTGGGTATTTTTTGTGCCACCATTAAGTTAAGTGAGCTCTATTGTAATTTTCTCAATCCTGTTTTCTTCCCTGTTGTGTCCTCCCAGGCTCTCCCTGGTGATTCTAGCTGGGTCTCTCAGTGGGCCAGCATAGCAGCCAATCACACAAGAACAGACCCAGAGGGTTCAGGAGCAGAAACAGGCAGCTTCCTGCACAAAGAGAGAGGTAGATACTATTGGAAACTCAGTTTTTAAACACAATATGTTTTCATTTTTAAAACCTTGATATGCTAATTATTTCAAAGTAGAACTAGGACTGAAAATCTTTTTTTTTTAATTTCATGCAAACAAAAGAAAAAAAAAAGAATCACAATTAAGTTGTTTTTTCTTATAGGTGCTAATACTGTTGAGTCTGGTGCCTCCCTCAGCAGAGGCGAATCCTCCTCCAGTCTGACTGACCGTAAGCGTAGGACCCTCCCTCAGCTCCCTGTGGATGACTCCCGGGCTAAATCCGCTACCCAGACTCTGAGGTCAGAGATTGGGGAAAAGCAGGATACTGAACCTCAGGAGAAAGAGAACAAGGGAGACGGGGAGTCCCCGACTCCCATGGAGAACAGCGAAATGACTAGTAAACGGAAACAAAGTTCCACCTCCTCTCCATCTAAGGCTTCTCTCCGGACCTCTGGAAGCACTGAGAGGAGGAAGAAGTCAGAGGAGAGGAAAGGAGGAGGAGCAGGAGCAGGAGAAGGAAGCGAGAAGTCTGGAAAGCCTCTAGTCCGCCAGGGCAGTTTCACAATTGAGAAGCCCAGTGCCAGCGTCCCTGCCGAGCTCATCCCACGTATAAACAGAGGCTGCAATGGACGCGAACGCAGTGATTCTGTAGGCAGCATGGATACTGCAACTCTCCTGAAGGACACTGAAGCTGTCATGGCTTTCCTAGAGGCCAAACTAAGAGATGAAAACAAACTAGATCAGAAAAGTAGTAAAGCTGGCATCACTGCTCAGGGTTCAAGTTCAGCCCTCCTCCCTCGGACTGACTCTATCTCTCCTGAATCAGATGTGGACACAGCCAGCACAGCTAGTCATGTGGCTGAATCGGCAGATAAGAAAGCAGCAGCCAGTGTACAAAAACGGCGTTCCCTCAGCAGCATGCACCGGGAGAAAAGCAATATGAGCACAGCTTCCAAAACCAGCATCACAAATCCCAGTGCTCGTGAACGGTTGGAGAGAAAGACTAAAAGCAGGCCAGTTGAAGCAACGACCCGGACTGATACACGTCGCTCTGTTCAGCCATCTTCTGCCTCCTCCAGAGCACGGCAGCCCTCGGCAGATCTCACTGATGACGACCAGACTTCATCCTTTCCCATCTCCGACATCCTCTCCTCAGACCAGGAGACCTACTCTGGACCTGTGGGGCACTCAACACACGGACGCGGCTCAGATGATGTCTTGCAATCCAAACTTGATAGGTCTGCAAAGACATCTGCCAGTGGTTCTTCCAAAACCAGCCGGACTCTTCATGCAGCCACAGCCTCCTCCTTGAGCAAGCAAGCCTCACTGCCTCAGCCGCGACCCACAAGAGCTTCTCTTCTCCGTCGTGCTCGACTGGGAGACACATCTGACACGGATCTAGCTGATGCAGACAGGGTGTCTGTGGCTTCTGAGGTGTCCACCACCAGCTCCACCTCAAAACCGCCATCAGGCCGGAAAGGGATGTCACGACTGGATCTGCTGGCGCAGCCACGAAGAAACCGTCTGGGCTCCATCTCAGCCCGCAGTGACTCTGAGTGTACAGTGACCCGAAGCTCCACCTCTTCACCCCGGCTATCATCAGAGACTGCTCTGCGTCTGGGCTTGCGCTCATCAACACCCACGGAGAACAAGCTGACACCCAGAATGAGAGCCAACAGCGTGTCCAAACTGAATGAAGCCAAAACCAAGACCACTACAGCGGGGTACTGCTCGCCAACAGGTGAATACATCTACTCCAGCACTGTTGTCTGATTGATTCAGATTTTTTAGTTGCACAGAGAAAGGAAAAAGTAGAATTCTAGTTTTAGCTGTTCATTTTATTTTTGTTTTGCCCTAATTATCAGTTTCTTTATAAAAAAGTACGACAAAGTCTAATTACATCTACATCATTGCATACCTCACATGTCAGTGTGTAAACATCTGTGTCCAAACATTTCCACCGTGTTGTGATGATTTGGTGCATTGGTTTTCATTATCCAGAGAGCTTTCAACCCGAACCTCCAGGTGGTGATACAGAGGAGGAGCTAATGGGTACTGTACCAGGACTATAGAGCCTAACTAGACTGTGTATGTGTGTGTGTCTAGTGTGTACAAGTGTGTGTCAGACCTGGGTCACAGGAATAGAAGGTTGAGCTCCACAGGATCTGAACTGCGTTACTGCAGCAACTCAGTTTTAAAAATGGCGCTGCTTGCATTTAAAAGTTAAATGAAAACAATGTATGTACTTTGAGTAGCTTCTTTGGTAAAAATTGCCACATACAAAAATGCAAAGGCTTAGTAAATCACCAGTAAATGTCAACGTAAACTACAATGACCCAGCTCTAGCATATTTGTATTGTTAACGTCTCCTACCTAAAATCTGCTGTGATGAGGACTCGAATGCTCTACCCATACTCTTACTGCGTCAAATCTGTAGTTTGGCCCTATATCCCATGCTACATGCAGCCTGAAGTGCACCTTTTCAGAGGTTTCCTAGTTCTGTTTTTGTAGTAGTATGTTGTATTATATGTAATTATTAATTAGCACAAGGTTAAAACTGCCGTGATGCAAATGGTAACAGGATTTGTTTGTATCTAGATTGGTTACTGTGCTGATGCCGTAGCTAGATTTTTACAAGTTTACCATGTTTTTTAAATGCTTTTATAGATTCAGTGAATTCAATCATATTCAATTCCAATATGATCAGCCGAGTGTCACTCCTGATAGCAAATCAATACAGTCGTATCAGCTCTGTAAAGTATACGAAAAAATTTTATAGCAGGTATAAATGCTAACAGCGATGTATTAAAGATTAGGCTTCACTTCTATCCAAAGATCTGATATTTGATCTCCAACTCTGTGATTATGTGGTCCTGGCTCCACCTTGTGGAGAATTTACATGTAGAGCAGGGGTGTCGGACCACGTACAGTCCACTTTGTGGCAAAAAAAGAAATCTGTCAGCACGACTCTTTGCGTTTAAGTTATAAGACGTGCAGAATTACAGAAGAAGTTCTGGTAGGTCTTTGCTCAGGCTGTCCCTTAATTTTAAACTGTTAGCAGTCGGACGTACCGCCCACGGGACATTGGATGGTTTAGGGGACTAATAGGACTGCTAAGGGGTTAAAGCAAAAGGTTTTTTGACCATTTATTTTAGTCCTATTGTAAAAAACCCTGAAGGTTTTATAGTTGATAGTGAAAAACATGGAAATTTTCTTTCATTTAACTGTTGAGCAAATACCTAATTACTTTGGTGTTGTTTATGCCTTCCTTTACTTGGTCCTGAATTAGAGTCTTTGCTGGGCTGATTCTAGCCCTCTGGCCTTATGTTTGACACCCCTGATCTAGACACTTCCGCTCTGAGAAGACTGGAAGAGCACTCTGTGTCATCTCATCATGGCACAGTTACAGTACATTAATGGCTCTGGTGTGTGAGCATTTTGAAGCAGGTTAACATACACTAACATGGTTCTAACAAGATTTGTTAACTTGTTGGATGCTTTTGTTGGCAGCATGGGCCAAGAGCTTTTCAATAAACTCAACTAGTGTTTCTTTTTTTGTTGTTGTTTTTAATTATGTTTTTTTAACTCCAAACATTGCTGCATCAGTCCATACAACAACTAAGCAAAGTTGCAATAATGATAGTATTCCTGAAATACTTGGCACCACTAACGCTTCTTATTCTCCCATCGTTTTTTATTCAAGCTCAGCAAGGCAGTTCAGTAATCAAGCTTTTCGTCGTTGCCTTTGAGAAATATCTGTGTTTGTCAACAAACAAGGAAGCATCCATTCTCCTCTGCTTAACATTCATATTTTGTCAGATCAGAGCAGAATCAGCTGCTGGCTTCCTCAGAAACAAAGCGTCTCAACTTTACAAGCACATTTATCTGTTTTATGAATAACTGATATTTTTGACTGAAAGATGACATTTCTCATGCACTTCTATCATAGTGTCCAGCAGCAGCAGGTGGAGACGTCTGCCACCAGAGTACGGTTCCACCTCGGAGGAAGAGTTCGGCTCCAATCGCAATTCTCCGAAACGGCCCCACGTGCGGCCTCATCACATCGTCCCACACCGCAACTCCAGACTCGGCGCCACTGTGAGCCCAGTTGGGGTGACGGGCCCAGGTGGAGTGGGGATCAAACACCGCATGAAAGAGCAAGAGGAGTACATCAGGGACTGGACAGCACACAGCGAGGAGATAGCCAGGTACTGATCCACACTGAACTGAGTGAAACTGAGCTTTAATGGTTTAACAGTTTTGTATATGCTGTTCTGTGTATGCAGGTTTCATGTGTTCATGTGGCTGTTTATCCCGAGTCCTAAAGAACCCCGTCTGATGGTTAACAGGTTATTCCCCTGTGTGCGCAGGATCAGCCAGGACCTGGCTAAGGACTTGGCCATCTTGGCTCGTGAAATCCACGATGTTGCCGGCGAGATTGACTCAGTCAGCTCATCCGGCACAGCACCCAGCACCACAGTCAGCACCGCTGCCACCACTCCAGGATCGGCCATTGACACTCGGGAAGAGGTAGGCCCTGCACGTCCTACGCAGCCGGATATACAGGACAGCATGAAAAAGGTGCCCATTTTTCTTCTTCTTATTGCCTTATTGCGTGTGTTTCCATTGCCCTCTTCCATCTTAATGTTTTGCTTTCATTTAAAAAAAATGCCTCTCTGCTGCTTCTTGATCTCACCTGCTGTGTGGTATTCACGTATTACAGTCCCATGCACTCCACTTTCATTTGTTTATCCTTATTTTGACCAAGAGAGTATTTTTTTTATTATTTTTCTACTATAAGACTAAAAACCGACTTTCTTTGGCTAAACAGTTAAAAAGCTTCAGAGCTGCTTAGCTTTTACTGATAGAGTTTTTCTTTCATTTCCCATGAATTCTCACATACTATGTTAAACTAAAGTAGAACAACACCGAAGTTCTACTTTCGGTTCAAAACTTTGACATCCTTCTTCTCTCCCTGCTCCATCTCTCCCCCTCTTTGCCTAGTTGGTTGATCGGGTGTTTGATGAGAGCCTCAACTTCAGGAAGATCCCACCTGTGATTTCAACTAGTAAGCCACCAGAGATAAACGGTAAACCAGCAGAGCTCCGGCCCCGTGCTCCTGACAACTTGGAGCCTCGAGCTTTAAGAAGACGCACCTGGAATAGAGAGGAGGTGAGAGGCAAACAAGAACATGACACCAAATTTCTGGAAGCTGCGTTGCATTCAGCAGTCAGCTTAACAGTCAGTTTCTTCTTCTGTGTGCATGCAGGCCGTGTTAGACAGCCTGCTGCTCCATTCAGTTTCCCAGCTGTCCACCAAGATCAGGCACTCCATTGACAAAACAGCAGGAAAAATAAGGTGAGTATACTTGTTGATATAAGTACCATTAGCATTTAACAACATATCTACAGTGCCTAACTCTAACCCATTGATCCTGAATACAAACGTGACCTGTTGTACAATGTTTGCTTCCAGGATTTTGTTTAAGGATAAGGACAGAAACTGGGATGAAATTGAGAGTAAACTAAGATCAGAGAGTGAAGTACCACTCCTTAAAACTTCCAACAAGGTGCGTAAATTCATCTGTCTGAATCATATCGAGTGACAAACAATTCCCAGTGTTAAGTGAACCCAATCGTTTTACTTCCTAATCATTTTATTTCCACCCTCCATTCACAGGAAATTTCTGGTATTCTGCTTGAACTGAAGAGAGTCGAAAAGCAGCTTCAAGGTAAATTATAAATGTGAACTCGCTCAGAGTCGTAGACATTTTCCTGCATCTCAACTCTGTTTATTTGTATTTAAAAGTTGAGAAGCACCTACTAAGGGAAAAGAAATAAAAATGATGGATTTCTTTCAAATGCTGAAAATTCATCACCCTGCAAAATGGGACGGACACATATGTAGGAAACGGAGGTGTCAGAAAGATTCTCTGCAAATCTGAAATGTTTTTCTTCTTCTACACTTGTGCATGTGGCTTTTAAAGCAAGACCAGATCAAAAACTATATTTTACAATAGAAAATATACACTGGCTTTTACATGAAGCCTTTCACACACTGACCCTCTGTCTATTTCTGTGATAGTGATCAATGTGATGGTAGACCCAGATGGGACTCTGGATGCCTTGGCCAGCCTCAGCCTGACCAGCCCCACAACCCCTACAAAGCCCCAAGCCACCAAAACAACTCCCCCCTCTGCTACCAGCCCTGGGTCGGCACCCCCAGCCAAAGAATCACTGCCGGAGATACTTCCAGGGTCTGGAGGTTCAGCAGCAGCCTGCGCCAGGGTTCAGACTTCTTCTGCCAGCACGGAGGAGAAAGCACGCGACACCAGCATTGGTTTGGGTAAATCGGCAGTCGGAGGTCTTAGCTTCAGCCGGATCCGGCCGAGCGGAGAGGAGGCCATCGCCCAGAAATAAAGTTTGGTTTATGTGAATAAACAAATGGATTGGAGTGCCAGCGGCTGGTGATCCATGTAGAAACATTCAAACTGTTTTGTTTGTTTATTTGTTTATGACAGAACAATGGCCATTCTGAGACTATACCAGTCTAAGATTATAGCATAATATAAAAAAAAAAAGATCTCCTCACCAGAATTGAAGTGCTTCATCTGATGTTTAGACTCCCCTCTCTGACCCTCAGCTGATACATCATGAGTTAACCATGAACAGAAATTGACCCATGAATGAAAGACTGACATTTCAACTTTGAACTGTTCAAGCTGGCCGGCTGACATGGCGGTCCCGGTCGGGTGCTCTCTCAGTGGACAGATTTCTGTGGGCGTACAGTCTCCTCCAGTCCTCTTGCCTTCTCCGTGTGTCTGGACCCCTTCTACACTAAGGACATGCCTTAAAACATATCCTCCATAGTAGCAGCATGACCCCGTATCCCTTCTACTTCAAAGACTTTTAACACTTTCATGACAGACTGCATTGTAACATAACACTTGCAAAACATGTTCTATTTACACTAGAACAAAATACAACACACTGCAATAATTTATTAGCTCCACGCCAGTGCAAAGAATATTTCAGCAGCCTTAAATAACCACCCCGACAAACCACAGTCATAAATAGACATGCTTTATGCCAGGAACTGCCAAATTGCAGATGTTTTATATATTTCCGAATTGTAACCGTCCATCGAGCCGTCTCTCAAACTGATTTGCAGTGCCTCCCCATCTGTCGGTTCACCTATTTCTTGTTCGCCTGTTATGTTCCCCTCTGTCCTCCCCATTTTTTCCTCCTTGTAGCTGGAAACATGTTTGTCAGAGCAGTAGCACATGCATGAGAGAGCAGAGTGTTTTCTCCCTGCAAGCTAGCGCCTGGGTTGCTCTCAACAATACTGAATAGTGGTTTTACTCAGTAGTAACAGCCTAAGGGAAACCAATGATAATCACTTACCAAAGCGAGTATGTTTCCAAACGCTAAAAAGTCATCAACTGATATTGCAGTTCATCTTAACGTGATCTGGTCTGCAGTTCACCCACCTCTCTGAATGTCAAAACCCAGTCTCTGTTAGCAAATCAAGAATTCAAGAAGATTATTTATTATAACGAATCATTATTTTAATAATTGCAAACAGATATTTCTGGCCCCTATGAGAATCTATGCCTAAGTGTCTTTATGATTTCCAATTGGCTTTTTCTCTGCTTTTTTTTTTCTTTCCAAGTCACAGATTGACTTCTGTTTCAAGTAGCAACAAAGAAGGTCACTGTTTAAACCACTGTTTTATATTTAGACACTTTTTATGATTTGACTTGTTCGTTTTCTTTGTGCATACAAAATCTGAACTTGAAAAAAGCTGCTGGGTTAGTTTCAATTAATGTGCTGTCAAAAGAATATAGGCACCTCACAAGAAGCCTTTTTATGGTTTAAAATATCAAGTCGTTGAATTGATTAGATAATTACAAAATAAGCTCCCCGTCTGTGAAGATTTAATGAATTTTGCTTGTGTATATACAGAAGGTGCATTGTTATCTTACTGATACTGTGGAATTTCAGTATAATTAACCTCTTACTCATTGACATTGCTGCTTTTGTAGTTATTTTATGGGGACTAACCATTTTCTGAATCTCTCTCCAGCTTATAGTCTGTGTACTAGAGTAAGACAACTTAAAGGCAAGTGTATTAGTACTTAGATGCTCATGGAATAGTGAATTAGGTACCACAATACATGTTCATTTCCTTCTCTATACCGTACTGTACAATGTTTTTCAATGCCTCAAAGTGCCCGTTTTGAAGCTGGGGGGGCATTGATTACAAGAAGAAAAAAAGACGTAGTCGTCTAAGGAAGATTTATCTGGTTTTGCACATCAGATTGTGGTGTGTTTTCATGCAGAAGTAGTCAAAGGCTGCATCAGATGAGCGATATCACTTAGCCTGATATCAGACGTGACTGCCTTGCCTCTCTGGAACTATTCTGCCTGTACAAAAAAAGAAGAAGAAGAAGAAGCCTCTAATTGTGTTTTTATTTTTTATTTTCTCCCATTTTATCAGAAAAAATATAAATTGGGGGACTGTGAATGCTAGGTACAGGCTTATTTTTTAAAACTCTACATGTGTCATCTGCTCAGTGGTCTTTGTATTTTTTTTTCTTGTTATTTTTGTAAAGAAAAAAAAACATTTTATTTATTTTATTTTTTTGGTTTTAATATGTTGTGGATGTTTCATGCATTTTATATTTGTTCAGTTATCTGCATTGGTTCTTACTGTTAATAAAAAAGAGCCATACACTTGTCTGTCCAATTTCATTTGACTAGGCAGTGGAAAAAAAACACTCACCAGTCACTACATTAGGTACACCTTGCTAGTACTGCACTTTTGCCTTCAAAACAAGGTGCTGGAAACAATTCTCAGAGATTTGAACTCATTGTGAACCCATTTTCATGATCAAGAAACTGGTGTGAGTTTTATGACAGGATGTGTTATCTTACTGGAATTAATAATCTTTAAACAGACACTCACTGATCCAGTAAGAGCAGGAATTTAACTACAAACCCTCATAGTTCCCATCAGTAACATTCATTCTCTGCCTCAATGGTCACAGTGGCTAGTTTAAGTACGTTTGCCCCATAGAAATCCACTGATGTTCAGTGAGTCCCTTTGATACATATTTAGACCTTCATAATTTTCAGGGTGCATGAGTGTTATATCTCCATCTCATCCTAAACATTTTACCAACATGTAAAAGGCATACGTCCACAAGATTTTGATTTGTTTAATTTTAATTGAAACTTGTTTTTGTTTTTTTTCTGAATAAATGTGTGAGATGGCCCTCAGGCCTCTAAATCCACGTCCAGGTTTAGGTGACTACTTGGATTAGGGGAGTATTATTTAGAGCAATGTTTGTCACTTTGGTTAATCGCTCAACTCAGGCCGTTTTTGTTCAGTCTTTTTCTAACTGAACTTTCACATTTAACATGCTAACTGAAGCCTGTAGAGTCTGAGATGTAGCTCTTTTATTCTCTGTATTGTACAGTCTGACTTAGGGGTGAATTTGCTGGGATTGGTGACTGTGTTGCATGTTTAGAATAATCTTCTTCAGAGTAGACTTTTGGTGTAAGATGATAGTGAATGAAAAAAGCTATAAAAAGCTGCTGTGGTTTTAATTTTCCAAGAGAGGTAATGCACATAATACAGAGACGAGGGGATATCCAAATTCTAGGAAGGCAGCCTGCTGCTGTACACAGGCGGATTCTTCTCAGTCATTGTTCTTAACAACTTGACTGTTTTCTCCAACCACACAAAGAGTGCTGTTTCCATTCTGGGAAGTCATTGGTGTAGGTAGTTCTTCAAATTACCTATATATGAGCAGCTGTATTAGCTTTGACTTAATATATGTTAAATAGTATACTTTCCTGTTTTAAAATTTATGATTACTCAAACCTTACAAATTATAACTCATCACCACTTGTGTGAACTACAATGGTGTCATCTTTTTTCTTTTCAATCCATTAAGTACTACCCCTACGGTGGCCCTGAGAGGCCAAACGGACTGCAACTTCAGAAAACACTTGCAAAAAGAAAAATGCTGCAAAAAGAAAAAAGTTTCGGTAAAGTTATAAACTCCTTGCTATCTAAAATATAACAGGACACCGGAGTATATTCTCCAGCATCTCACACTTCTGATAATCAGCTGTCTGCTTGACGTTTATTCAGCTGTGTAAAAACTATAACTTTAATCTCAGCCAAACCGATTTACTCAGGAACAAATAAAATACTAAAAAAAAAAAAAAGCCAAACAACAACATTTTTAATTTATCTAAGTGACTCATATATATTTAACCTGAGTCGCGAAAGACGGCGGTGGGTTTGAAAACAATTTGCCGGGAGTCCGGTGTTCTCACGGCGCTAGTGACCTAGCCCCCGGCTAGCTATCGAGCTAGTGGGTAACAGACGTCTCCGAAAACGTCGGAGCGCTTTTGAAAATATGTGGTGTCCTGATAAACTGAGCCGATATTTGAGGTTTACACAGCTACATTCTCGCCTGAAAATATGTTAAACGTTTATTTTGTGACCCAGAAAGAATAATAAGAGTAATATTAAAACTAACTAGCTACTGGCATCCTTGTACATGCAGTGCTGCCATCTTCTGTTTCAGTCCGTTATTACACTCTTAAATCCTGCTACATTCCTGCGTCTTTTGC